GACAAGCAGTACTGTCAACTATCTGGGAACTTGAACTGCAAATACTGGGGACCCATCCCGGACTTAATGAGTTAGAAAGTGGGGCAGCTGGGCAGCAATCTGTTTTAACAAGCCCTTCAGGTGATTCTGAGGCATGCTCAAATCTGAAAACCACCCCTCTAGGACTACCTTATACGCACAGCTCTCCGCACAGGAACGTGATGCTCCAAGTGCCTAAGTCAACCACTTCGCTGGGTGCAGGAAGGGAGCTGATACCAAGGCCCAGCCCTGTCGCAGTTCGCTTCCTCCTCCCGTACACCCAGTTCCAGCCACTCTCTAAGCCACTGCCTCCCGTATTACTTTACCCCCACCGGGCCCGTTCCCGCCCCTCCGCCACCCTACCTCAGTGTCAGAGGGGACGTGGTGCCGGCAGGGAAGGGCACTGCTCAAGGACACAGGAATAGACGTAGCACATGTCCGGAGCCCGCCCAACAGGAGCAAAATGCCTCGGACCCATAAAGAACCGCTCCAGAGCCACCGACTTGGGCCCGGACCTGAACCCGAGGACGCCCCTCTACCCCATTCGGGCGCCATCTTTGGACTGAGCGTCGTTACCATGGAGTACTTGACGCTTTCACGCCGGCGCCGGCCCCGCCCCTCACCGCTCAGGGCGGGCGGAGGGGCCAGCTGGCGGAAAGCTGCTTTTCGATTGGCTTGCGTCACCCGGAAGCTCACCACGAACACGAAATGTGTCTCATTGCGGGAAGCCAACCATTAAATGCCGCTTAGCGGCTCACGTGAGTTGAGCTGAGAGCAGTGACGTTGATGGCAATGAAGGTGGTGTACGGGTCTCTACTGAGGCAGTTTTTGTCTTTAATTCAGTTAGCCACGTAAGATATGCACGCACTAGATGCCAAGGGGCTTAGACAAAGAGCTGCAGAATTCTTTATGGTGTGGCCCTCTACAAAAGGTGAATGGAATATAATTTTTAATGCATTTTTGACTTCAGAGAGGGAGATAGAAACATCTGAGAATCATTGATCGGCTGCCTCCTGCACGCCCCCCACCAGGCATGGAGCCCGCAACCTGGGCATGTGCCCTGACAAGAATCAACCACTGAGCCACGCTGGCCGGCTTCTTGTTTACTTATCATGAGTCACCAATTGCAGGCCCATTTCTTCTTAAAATCATTCCCTATAAAGCCAACCACGTGTCTGTCCTTTACTATTCAACCCTATCCCTTATTTTAAACCCAAGAATTGGCCCAGCTTGCCTGGCTCAGTGGTTAAGGAACGACCTATATGAACCAGGTCACCAGGTCACAGTTTGTTTCTGGGTCAGAGCACATGCTCCGGTTGCAGGCACGCAGAAGGCAGATCAATGATTATCTCATCATTTGTTTCTCTCTTCCTCTCTGAAATCAATAGAAATATTTTTTAAAAAATAAAACACAAGAATTGCAACTAATATTAACTCAGTAAGAGATTGGGTGAATCCTTGCCATTAAGGAAACTACCTTCAAAACTGAACAGTGAGGAACTACAAAAAAATTTGAAAAAATCGTGATAAACCTGTGTAGCATATGAAACAAAGAAAACTAGGTATTGGAAGCACTTAGCTGGAACATTCAACAGGAAGTGGATATTGTAAATTACTATAGTTGGAAGTGTAGGGGCAGGAATACAAAATCCCTAAGAATTTGTATTTCATTGGTGAAGATCATGTACTCAAATAATACGGGGTAAGTGATTTTACCAATAGTCATCAGATAATGTGTCAACCCTGGTGGGTAGTTCAGTTGGTTAGAGCGTCTAGATATGTGAAGGTTGCAGGTTGATCCCCAGTCGGGATACATACAAGTATCAACCAATAAATGGAACAAATCTCTCAAAATCAATTAAAAAAATAATTTTTTAAAATGTGTATCAATCCACAAGTATAAGTTGGGATCCCAAACCAAATTTACCACTTTCACCTGTGCTCTTCCCACTACAAGACCACAAACAATAGATTATCAACAAAGAACACCTGTCATCTTCAAGTTCCTGGGTGTAACAGTAGTGTCATGGTGGGGAGAGGCTGTTTCAGTAGTCTAGTGGAAAAGCTGCTAGCCACTGAAGTTCATTTCTGTGAAATGTTGGAGTCATGCAATGGTAACTGTGGCTTGAAAACTACTTTTGCACAGACCGAACCTTATATGGGAACAGAAAAGTGCAGACACCCTCATTTTGAAATGATGCATTATATCAGTCAAGGATGAATTTGCATGCATGACTACCTTGCAAATACATTTACTTAAGTCATCCCAAGGATTGTCAGCCTTCTCTTCCCTTCTTTGCTCAAATGCCTATCACTTCTTGTGTATTCACCCCCATTGCTCTACCATCACCTATCCCACTCAGAATACCACATTCACTTGACTCCTACAAAGGTGACAAGCAGAGAGAAACATCCGATTTGTTGTTCCTTTTATTTATGCATCCAGATTCATTCTTATATGTGCCTTGACTAGGGATTGAACCCACAACCTTGGCATATAGATACAAAGCACTAACCAAATGAGCTACCAGGGCCACACTATTTCTTTTCCTTTCCTTTCCATGACTAACCCAGACCTGAATAGCCATCTGTCTTCCTGGACATATTCACAGTTAAGTAACCCAGCCTCCTCAAACTCAACTCCCCGACCTCTGCAAAAAACAACAAAAAACCACATCTGGTGCCCCAACTTTGTAAATGCATTAACCACCCAGCAAACAAAGGTGGAGACATGTTGTCCGTGAATATTCCTCTCTACTTGGTTCTTAATTTGTTAGTTTATGGAGTCTGCTCTAATTCAGTGCTCAAAAAACTCAGCTAAGACTGTAATCCCTACCTGGGTTTCCTTCAGTTTATGCTGGGTTCCTACTGAGTTCTAAAGTATGAATCTGGTCAACTGTCAATCAAGTGCTTTAATGACACTATTACTAGTACATACAAGAATAGTGGGCCTAAAATCCCTAGTACAGTTAAGACCTTGCATAACCTGGCATCTTAGTTTTTGATACTTTCCTATTCCCAATAGTTTTTAGTCACATTATATAGTTGAATGGTTCCTCACATGCCTTCTTCCCCATAAAACTTGTCATTTCCTTTTTCTCAAATACCTCAAGCATTCCCTCTATCCCTGACCACCCCAAGAATACCGATACAGTAAACTCTCAATTTTGCAGACCTTGATTTAATAGAATTCGGTTTTAACGGACAAAAATTCTGACCTATATGTAGTATGTGAAAACTAACACCCTGTTAATTTTAAAATGCTTTTAACCAAAATTTGTTTATAATTAACAGGTTATTATTTTTGATTTCTAACAAATTTTATCAAATAGGCCATATAGTAGAAAAGACACTAGTAATTTCACCAACATAAATATTACATATCTACAACGATAGGCTACATATTTAAATCCACGAGCCACCACTCATAAATAAACAATGTTCAGGGAGTGACTAGCACTTGACCTGATGTTCTGACATGCACTAAGCCACATCCCAGCCATGTGTATTTGTTTACTTGCAGTGACTGGTGAATTTACTAGACTTTATTCAGTATAAATTTAAAATTACTGTAATATATATAGACAGAAAAGTTTCCTGTGAAAGTAAACTTTTCATACATACTTCATTTCAATTACACAAACTTGTCTATGTAAGTAGAAACAGGTTAACTAGTCAATTTTTTAACATAAGCATCTGGAAAACCATTTACTATATAATGGACTTTTGGCTTTAAAGGGATCCCCCTTGCCCAAATTAGTCCATTATATTGAGATTAGTCAAATGAGACTGGTATTACAAATACAAGCCCATTTCTGTGAAACATGGACTCTTCCAACAGCAAATTTGGCTTAAAGATCACCACTGGACTAAAGCAAACCTTTCCTAGATTGAGTGCTAGGAGTACCCAATGCTAATCCTTTCCTACAGCCTCTCCTTCAAAGGTCTTTCACACCACCATGCATTTTTAGCATACTAATTGTTTCCCAGCATCTATTTAAGGAACCCAAATAAGAGGGGCTGTTTGGCAAACTCCGTTTATTTCCATGGGATGTCAAGACTTGTTAATAAAGGACTAGCTGCTACTGCATCAATTTACAACCACCATATTACAAACTGATTAACTTGGTTCAAACTTTTATTTCAACATTTTGAGATTTAAAATATTCTGCAGCCCTGCTTAATTTCCTTATTATGCTAAAAATCTCAATCCTGCACTTTTATATTAAAACAGAGCCAAATAAAGTTACACTAATGAGGCAACACCAACCCCGACCCCCACACACATAGATAATGGAGGCATGCGGCATTATTTTGACTTTTCAACATACAAATTATTTCCACTTGTGATACACTGGAATGCTTTGTCCAGTCACAGCGCCAAGGATATCTCATCCCTGCCTATCCAGCACGCTGCCAATACCATCAATATAGTCTCCATTCAAATTTCTCCCAACTACCATTTTTAAGTCACAAGTTTTCCACCCAATCTATATTGAACAGTGCATACAATTGTAAGTTATTTTAAAGGATCAAGATAATAAGTTTCTTCACAGACTCAATCTAATCTGGGAGGCGGTTACCAGAATATTTAGTAAAATGCAGTACCAAAGTTGAAATAAACTGTTACAAGGAAGTTGTGGATTCATTTTGAGATGTAAATCTAGAAAAGTATCATGGTGCTTACCTGTACTGGCTAAAATTATTGGCTTCTGTACTTCCTGGAATATGCTGTCTCCACTTGTCCAAAAGCTTATCAGGGGTTAGGTTTAAGTACTCCATCACTTTCCAATGTACTTCTTTTTCACTGTCCCCAGTCAGTTAACTTGTCCCCTCTCTCCCTTAGCCTGTAAGCCCTGATACATTATTCCTATCCAGTTGTTTAAATCTCTGTAATCATCACTACATACAGCCCTCTGACTTCCTTGTATACTCTGAAAATACCTGATAACTGCCACCATTTAAGCACATAGCAAGCGAAGTTAGGGCAAAGTGATTTTTAAGCCATTTGACCAAAACACAAGAAAACAAATCCATTTTATTTATTTTCAGTGTTTAAATCCTTGAGGGATACAGCATCTGAAGGGGAGAAAAGAAAATGTCATTAGGTGCATGTTATATATACAAATTTACAAATGTCATTAGTAACACAATATGAATAAATGTCCTCCCATTGTCCCATTAATCATCTCTGAAAGGCATCCAATGACTTATATGTAGGTAGGGGGAGGAAGCAAGATTTTATGGCCTTCAATTTTTAGGTGAACGTGTTTTGATTAAGGAACATTCTGGAATACCGAAAGTCCATTTAATTTTGCTTCTTCTAATGACAACAAAAAAACTTCCTTTGATAAGAAACCTCTAACTGCTCACCAGGGTTCAAAGTACCCCAGGTGACCCAAGACAATGGCCATGACTATGAAAAATAGATACTTGCCCTGACCCGTTTGGCTCAGTGGATAGAGCGTCGGCCTGCGGACTGAAAGGTCCCAGGTTCGATTCGGGTCAAGGGCATGTACCTTGGTTTCGGGCACATCCCCAGTGGGAGGTGTGCAGGGGGCAGCTGATCGATGTTTCTCTCATCGATGTTTCTAACTCTCTATCCCTCTCCCTTCCTCTCTGTAAAAAATCAATAAAATATTTTTTTTTAAAAAAATAGATACTAACTGCTACACTGAAAGGCTTTGGGTTCATTCCCTATTCCTGGTCGGGTGCTGTCAGGGTGCATAAGGGAGGCAATGTTTCTCTGTCTCTTTTTTTAAAAATACGTTTTTGTTCATTTCAAAGAGAAAGGGAAAGGGAGAGAAACATCAGTGATAACAATCACTGATCGGCTGCCTCCCCATTGAGGACCGAGCCTGCAACCCGGGCATGTGCCCTTGACCGGGAATCAAATCCAGGATCCTTCCGCAGGCCCACTGCTCTATCCACTGAGCCAAACCAGCCAGGGCC